TAAGTAATTTCCATGTGGCCCTCTGGATAAGAATAACATATTTTAAGTTAAAAAACATATCCCTCAGGTTCAAATTTAATCATTTCGGCTATGTTATGCATACTGTCCAAAGGAAATAGTGTGAGGTAATGGCTCTGCAGTATATAATGTTATCCAGTCAGGCTAGGCAGTAGATAAAGAGTCAGTGAGCAGTGCCTGCAGAGTAAAAAAGCTCCTCTGTAGGCCATTGAAGCCATGTGAGATCCAGGCAAGTGGATGAAGGTTGTGAATCCGAGCTTATGTTTACCGAAGCCTCTACGGGCCTCTGTGCCAAGAACTCAGAAATAGCTATCTCAGGATGAGAAGAGGGGTCACATAACCTCAAAATGGCGGCATCTGATTTGACCATATTTGTCTTCGTATCCTCGTGGCCGATACAATCCCCTCTTGGCTCGAACCAGAGGCTAAAAGGGCACATAGTCCTGCTTATCTGCCCAGCTCATAAAACAGAGCAGCCAAAAAAATGACAGTGGATTGACCTTAAGACAAGATGGTATTGTATTTGTAGTTTTAATTTGCAGTATGCAGTCAAAACAAACCTATTATGCCACAAAACTTGATGAACCAACACTGAATATTTGCTAATGTTGCAAAGATGAGTTTGTGTAGTGATTGGTTGGTCAGTAGAAGTGTCTTGGCTGTTATTCTGTCTGTGGAAGGAAAGCCACACATCCGCCCTATCTGTGCTTCCTTCCTTGGTTGGGTCACCTGTTTTGTGCTTTCCAGATGAGCGGTGGAGACAGATTGAGGAGAGAGAGCTGAGTTAAGGGAAAATGGGGGTCGGAGGTCTTGTGATTGTCTGTCTACCATGTTACGGTGCTGCCTTCTCTGTATCAGAAACGATTCCCATCAGTGACTTGAACGTGAGGGATTAGTGCTGCTGGACTGATCTGCAGGTGACTCCGGTTTCAATTTTAAGAGGCTGATTTTTATCACACTGATAGTGATTCGTAAGTGACTTCATTCATATGTGAATACAGCAACAACCAATGGGAGAGCAGAGAGTGGAGTTCACATTGGATGCTTTCCAGCTAATTAACCTAGGGATGCAATAATATTAAATTTAGTATACTAAATTTAATATTATTGTAAATTTAATATACTATTTCACTTCAAAATAAATGACAAACAAAACAATAAAAACTGTCATATATAACTTTAATGCTACAAGTGAATAGGCATCACACCATTATAGTTTACAGTATGAAACATAGAAGTTCATTTTGAGATTTGCTAAAGATTAAATTTAACAGTAAAATCACTAGTGTTTTTGTAGATTAACTTTAAATGAGTGTTAGATGATGGCAAAGGTCATCTAAAGTTTAAAAAGGGTCAAATGAGCATGCAGAATTAAATATACAATATTGACCCATATGATAAATAAAAACAAAACTGGACTGATAACTGATATTCTACTGGTATATAGTGTAAACGCTGTGTGACGCTGTGTGTTATTTTAGTATTATTTATATATTGTTATAGCGTATAGTATAGTATATTTTGAATTGGCTTTTATTTTCATTTTTTCAGTTTCCAGTAAAATTTTATTTTTAGTCATTTTTTATGTGCTTTTGTCAGTTTTATGTTTTTAATGTTTCTGTTTAGTTCTATATTTAAATCTGTTAAGTTTCAGTAATTCTAGTACTTCAACCTCTATTATTTCTATTTTTAACGCATATAAATATAAATATAACATAAATATAATGAATATTATACTATATATAAATATAAATACATGTTACATATATTTCTTAAATATATACATGTATGTGTGTGTATTTATGTATACATATATACACAATGCACACACATATATTACTTATTGGATTAAACGATTTGACTTCCCTACTTTCTAGTGATCCTGAAGACCTTGATTAGCTTGTTCAGGTGTGTTTGACCAGGGTTGGAGCTAAACTCTGCAGGAAAGTGGACCTCGAGGGCCAGAGTTGAGAAACCCTACATTAGAACAGTACTGTGCAATTTTAATTAGTCTACTATACTATGATCAATGTGTTTAAATATAATTTGGGCTTTGTTGTATGGGTTGACTTCTAGGTCTTTCAGTGTGTTTGAATGACTGGTGCCCCTTTCAGTCCCGGAGAGCCAAGGTGGCCTTTTATCACAAGAAAGTCTAGGAGGTGTGTGGTACTCCAAAGAGCAGCTAAACAAACAAATTACATAATACAGTTTAACGACGACTTATGGATTGGCTAAATGCAGACACACTGAAATTGAAAAACCATACACCCATAGAAATGACTCATGCAACCCCAAACTAGTAACCCCTTGTGTGTTTTTGAACTCACATTTTTGCTCTCTAGATTTACAGATTAAACCAGTGGCAGTAGCATAGCGTTTCCACTGAGCTGAGTGAGGTCTTGATGTCATTCTCTACTCTCTGAGACATGAGTTTGACGCGGTTTGGTCTCTCTGTGCTGGTGTTTGCTTGATCGCATCAGTGCATTTAGGTCAGAGTCTCAGGAACCTGACAAGGGAGCTGGAGACGAAAGCACGTCCAAACAGGGCATTGAAAAGCAGATAAAAGAGCGAGCAGCATGTATATCTGATAACAGAAGCAGCCAGCATTTAATCTTGTACTCTTTTATGGTCCCTTAGGACTAGGTTGGTTATCGTTTGTTTTTTTTTTCGATACCAGTGCCAAATCGATACGTTTAAAACGGTTCCGGTGCCATATTGTGCCTTAACCAATACTTATTTAAAAAATTAAAATTAAAATTCCCCAAAAAATTATGGATTGGCCATTAGCACTATAAACACATGATGTCTGTTTCATTCATACTGGACGCCAGAGGGCGCCCTCGCACAGAAACTCCACATATCCAATCACAGAAGTAGCGGAACTCATGACCCTCCAGGAAATCCCTTATATGAACAAAGACATGCTATTATAGCTGTAACTGAGTAAACCGAACGTATAAACGTTTTGAATGATAAAACAAAGACAATAAAGACTCGACTGCGACAATATAGTTTATCTGTGTTATTCAAGCCATCTCTGGTATTTTCATAATAATTAAGTATATTTATAATCCATTGCTAATTGATGTATTCTTTTTAAAGTAGCCTATGGAGCATATTTTCTGCCTCATTCTGTGACAAGAAGCAAAGATTTGTTGGATTTGTATTATTAGAGCTTTCCGACTTGAGTTCATATGCGTTTTCTCAGTCGGGAAATAATTTTTCACGTGCAGTGCCATTGATGATGCTTCTTATGTCCGTATTGGTACCGGGTTTCGGTACCCAACACTGTTTAGGACACTATTCAAGGGCAGTACAGTAGATGCAGTATTGGATCAGAAATGTTTAATAAGAATAAATTGTTTTAATAGGTGACCTTGTTTCTGTTTTATCTTAGATGGGATGCATCCTTTATATAATCCAATACGGATTCCTCAGCTGTGTAAGTTCTGTGACGTGGAGGCATCCGACTGTAAAGGCACCGGCACCTGTGAAAGCAACTGCAGCATCACATCCATCTGTGCCCATGCCGAAGAAATCTGTGTGGCTATCTGGTACGTCACTGTTCAAGTCATATTCTTACACAACTTTTTATGAAGTGTGAAACATCTGTTGTATGCAAGTGTAAAGCATCTGCTTTGCACAACAGACAAAAAAACACCAATGAATCTTGTTCACAGCTTGCAGTATTATTCTCATATTTTTAAACAATTACACAAAATCAAAATGGGCCCTTAATAAATATGCTTATTCTCACTAAATATTGTTCTAAAGAAAAAAAGTGGTAGTTTTAATCAAAATGTGAGAACTTTCACCACTTCTGAAACAACTTTTCTTTTCTGCTTACATAAGCAAGGCCAAATGGTGAGGGGGAAAAATAATATTATCCAATAATATAAAAGTCTAATACTTCATAATCCAATTAAATACCAATAAATTTTATCAAGTGTCCTGTTTTACTATGAAATATGTGACATTGTGGTTAAATGTGCTGTGAATGCCATTTCATGTTGTCTTCAATTATGGAAACAGTGCAGTTAAATATAGCAACAAGTCATTGCTGTATCTAAGTGCTTATTATGTTTACTGATATAACAACAAGGGGACATGCAGTTTATTTTTTTATTGTCAAAGTCACCTGAGAATGTAAAATAATTATTTTGACATAAGAGCTGTCCTTTGATATCATAATCCCTGTAATAACAGTCTATGTGTTTATATTTGTGTGCTCTCGATGACATCAGGAGGAAGAGTGATGACAACAACACGATTGAGACATTGTGCCACAACCCATCTGAGCCCCTCTACGGCATCATGGTGGAGAACTACAACAACACCAAGTGTGAAATAAAAAAGAGGATGTCAAACAGAGGCCCCTTCCACATCTGCTCCTGCAACGCCGAGGAGTGCAACGACATACTGATGTTCACGCTCCGTTAGTCTCTTTCTTCATTCCTTCTTTCTAGCTTTGTCTATCCTCCCTTTTTGTGTCATTAATAATAGTGGTTTAAGATGCTGAAATTTGTAGATTCAAACTATTTTGTCCTTTAGCAAGGTACTTCAGGTTGAATCAGCTGACAGGCCCAGATGGTATCTGCGGAATCACATTTTCTCTGCTGATTTTTAAGAAAAAACTGCAGAATGGATTTAAACATAAAACTTTAAACAGAGCTGAAAAGTACATATTTATTGGGAGGTGAAAGCATAATGAAACGATTTAAATACAGCGTGACTCTATTTACTTTTATGCATGTTCCTTGTCTGATTGTGGATAATTATTTGCCAGTTTTATTTTTATTTTAAAAACTACAAATATTTTATATACATTTTTTTTTTTGGAGGGGGGGGGTATTTACAAAATGATTACATCAAAATGTAGCTGCTTTGACTCAGAAACAACTTTCCTTTATTGACTGACATAAAAAATGATTTGTAATTATTATAAACCCTTCCTCTTCCAATCACCTGGCCCCATTCTGGTAACGCCCACTTTTCACAATCCAATCAATTCCAGATGGATAAAATCATGCCCTGCCCTACAATTTATTTATTTTTATCTTTTTGAACATCGCGTATCGTTCTGAAATACAGTAGATTACAGAAATAAAATGGGTTGCTCGCATTTAGATGCCAAACAGTGTTTTTATTGTTAACTAAAACAAAAACTATTAAAAATAGTTTTCGCTAACTGAAATAAAGCTGAAATAAAATAGAATATAAATATTAGATGGAAAAACATAAACTTATAAAGCTTAATTAGACTGTTTCATTTTGGCAACTAACTGAAATAAACAAGTTAAATTACTAAAACTGAAATAAAAATATCTAAATCCTAAATGGAAGTATGAAAAAAAACTAATAAAAATGACAAAAGCACATAACAAAATTACTCGCATTTAAACTATTCTGTAAATATAAAAATTAAAGCGAATTCAAAAATTAATCAATTTTATAATAATATATAAATAATGCTAAAATTACTCTGATGAAAAGGTCAGGAATTTTGAAGAATTTTATGAATGACAGACATTCCAATTCAGTGGAAATCTGCAGCGTTCTGCAGTCACAGATTCCGTGTGGGCCTGCAAATTGGCAAGTGACAGCCTACATCACATTGACTATGGAAACACTGCGTTAGTGTATAAATAATGAACCGTGTTTCAGATAGTTTTGGTTTTGATTGTGCTACACTCCACTTCACCACACTAGATAAACGGCACTCAACTGAGCTAATAAATCAATTGCAAACCCTAGCAGAACATGTTTATCTACCACACACAAGCTGTACAATGCTAACTATTTAGCACTGGCTCATAGCGTGTAACATGCTCTGGTATGTGAGCTCAGGTTGTCGTAACGTTCTAAAGCAGCTGCATTGTTGCTAGCCAGGCTGTGCTGTCTCAGGCAGACTTTCTACTGGCTTTGGTTGTGTGGACGGCTGAGGATCTCAGACATGTGGTTTCCTGTCTGTGTAACTTGAAGCAGAGACATCACAACCACATGGCAAAACAGCTGTGTGGATAAATAGTGACTGATGTATTGGTCTATCCACAGTCTTCATCCAGTAGGATATTCCTGCAAGATTTCATTACCACATTCAAAGCCATTATGGTGTTTGCATATGTGAATGCTGCATCAGAAACAGTCTGTCTGCATGAAGACAAATGAATGGAGCTTCGTCTAGAAAAAGGGAAATGGAGAAACTGTAGATAACTGAGGATTACTGTCATTAGCAGACCAAAAAAAAAAAAGGAAATGTTTTAATGCAGTTTATGCTGAAATATATTTCTGTAATGACAACTCTCGGAGGGATTGGCATGGTAATGTACATGACAGTGTTAATGTATTTGGTCGCAGAACATGTTTATCTACCACACACAAGCTGTACAATGCTAACTATTTAGCACTGGCTCATAGCGTGTAACATGCTCTGGTATGTGAGCTCAGGTTGTCGTAACGTTCTAAAGCAGCTGCATTGTTGCTAGCCAGGCTGTGCTGTCTCAGGCAGACTTTCTACTGGCTTTGGTTGTGTGGACGGCTGAGGATCTCAGACATGTGGTTTCCTGTCTGTGTAACTTGAAGCAGAGACATCACCACCACATGGCAAAACAGCTGTGTGCACTAGGCATGCACTAAAATAACCTTATTTACCACTATTTGGAAAGTTCATTGCATGTTTCGTACATTTTAAAGAGCCACATTTTCGTTTTTAAGCAAGGAAAATCCGCATTGTATGGTTTCTAAATGAAATGCAGAGCACAAATTCAGAGTATGGGATACCACACTTGGCCACACGTCACGTCCTTTCCTTTTCTTCTAAAACCTAAAACAGTACGTGGGGATTTCTGAGGTATGGGGTATCCTGAGGCGAGTGTGCTTCCTTCTTTCAGTATGTAAACACAATTATCATAAGCTAATGAAGACAGATTCTACCGATTTTACTTTGCGGATATATGTTACAAAAAGATGTTGTTTGAGCAGGTGTTTGATGCCTGTAGTGTTTGCTATGTAGAAGCAGTCGAGGGAGGCTGTAATTCCATCCTCATTCCCTGCCAGAGTGGGGAAGTATCGCAGGAAGTCCATGTTTACTTATTGGAACGGTTCCATGGCATATTTCTCCAGAAATGCCAGGCATTGTTTTCCTGGACCATAACAGTTCCAGTGATAAGCTCCCTATTCTGTATTCGACTGGAGATGCCGCCGTTTCTTTGGACTTCATTATGGCAGCTGCAGGGTGTACACACCAGCTCATAATTATATTCTGCACAGCTGAGCTTTGTCATATAGCAATTTCACAATTTTTTTTTTTTTTGTGCTGAATCAAATAAACAGAAATTCAAGCTTGCACTGCTTTTGGCCTAGGTGGACTTTTTAGGTGGAAATACTCTGTGAAAACTAAAGGTGCCTCAGATATCCCTTTGTGTACTGAAGGAGCTACAGCATATATTTCAAGTGCCCAAAAACTTTCTTCATCCTGATGGGTTACAGGAGGAACTGTCAAAAGTTTATATAGAAGTTAATCATGAAGCTATTTTCTTTTTAAGCAAGGAAAATCCACATTGTATGGTTTCTAAATGAAATGCAGAGCACAAATTCAGAGTATGGGATACCACACTTGGCCACACGACACGTCCTTTCCTTTTCTTCTAAAACCTAAAACAGTACGTGGGGATTTCTGAGGTATGGGGTATCCTGAGGCGAGTGTGCTTCCTTCTTTCAGTATGTAAACACAATTATCATAAGCTAATGAAGACAGATTCTACCGATTTTACTTTGCGGATATATGTTACAAAAAGATGTTGTTTGAGCAGGTGTTTGATGCCTGTAGTGTTTGCTATGTAGAAGCAGTCGAGGGAGGCTGTAATTCCATCCTCATTCCCTGCCAGAGTGGGGAAGTATCGCAGGAAGTCCATGTTTACTTATTGGAACGGTTCCATGGCATATTTCTCCAGAAATGCCAGGCATTGTTTTCCTGGACCATAACAGTTCCAGTGATAAGCTCCCTATTCTGTATTCGACTGGAGATGCCGCCGTTTCTTTGGACTTCATTATGGCAGCTGCAGGGTGTACACACCAGCTCATAATTATATTCTGCACAGCTGAGCTTTGTCATATAGCAATTTCACAATTTTATTTTTTTTTGTGCTGAATCAAATAAACAGAAATTCAAGCTTGCACTGCTTTTGGCCTAGGTGGACTTTTTAGGTGGAAATACTCTGTGAAAACTAAAGGTGCCTCAGATATCCCTTTGTGTACTGAAGGAGCTACAGCATATATTTCAAGTGCCCAAAAACTTTCTTCATCCTGATGGGTTACAGGAGGAACTGTCAAAAGTTTATATAGAAGTTAATCATGAAGCTATTTTCATTGTTACAGTGTCAGTACTGCCATATTTTCTTATACGTTTTTTATGGTGGATATTTAATTATATTTTTATTCTTACATTTTGTATTTTAATTTAATTTAATTATAAAAATATTTACAAAATATAAAAATGAGGACATTATACACACATTATTCAAAAGTATGTGAGTTGTTTATATTATATCTAAGTGTGTGAGTTGTTTACTTTTTTAAATAGTCTTCCTATTAACACCATTATATTGTTCATTCAGACTGATTCACGAACGCGGAACGCGCACAAACACAAGAGGCAGGATTTATTGCATGAACCAATCAGAGCCAATCATAACCAGTCATATCCAATCATATCGCGATAGAGGCATTGACTCCTCTCACGTGACTTTTCCCATTGATTTTAATTATGTATTTTGTAACATTGCGTTGTTTTATTTTTGTACTACAAATTTTTTTCTCATCCAATTTTTTGAGGAGGCGCTGCCTCTCGGAATCACAACATTGTAAAGTACAACATGAAAAACAGATTTGTTTGCAAAAATTTGACAAAAAGTGTGCACATCCAGCAGTCAAAAAAGAAATCATAAATAGAAAAATTATTTATTACAAGTTCTCACCAACTCTGATGTTTTGAGCCATATGGCTCTTTATCAGACCAATCAAAGTTTTTTTTCCTGTCATATTTATTTGATGCATTTGGTAGAGGCAAAGTGACTTACACTGCATTCAAGCTATACATTTTTTAAATTCATGTATTCCCTAGGAATCGAACCCATTGCCCATTGCCGTTGCTAGCACCATACTTTACTGCTTGAGCTACAGGAAGGCAAGGTCATGTAAACATAGGCAGAAATTACCTAATTAAATATACAATATCAACCAACAACTCTAAAATTAAAAACCCAATATGGTACAGATAAATTCTGAATCCTTAATGAATCCTTTTCCAGTAAGTGTGAGCAATGGTAGTAGTATTAGTGGTGTTCGCTAAAGCACTAATGAGAAACATGTCTATTGGTCGTGAGAAGCAATTAAATTTTAATAGATTAACTTGTGAGTCAGGGGCTTTGGAAAGCGTAATCCACTTGATTCTTGTTAAGACCTTGGCACAGATGTACAGTGGTGCATTTAACAGTGGAGCCTGCAGAAAAGTGCCTCTTATTAGCTGATAATGTCATGGACCGCAGCAGTGTGGCTGGCATCCTGTTTTATGTGGCTGAAAAAGGCACTGTGATTTCATGCCTGTTTATATTGGTTGTTTGGCTCGAGAAGAGGTTTCTGCTGCTGTATGTGAAGAGTTGAGTGCTCCCTCTGCACCGCACGTCTATGCTTTTTGCATGTGTTTGCTGACTCTTCTGTCTGCCAAACGCTTTGGCATTTATTGACGGTTTCCCTCTCCCAGTGTTGTGTATCCATTTCTGTTCTTTTCATGTCTGTGTCTCAATGATAAGGCGTGTCTGTGTGTTTGATGGAAGAATGCAGACAGACGAAACACTGACTCCACTCTCTGCCCACGTAGTTGGCAGCTCTCACTTTGTCTCTGGATTGAACCTGCAGTGCTAGGGCTTCCAAGCCAGTCCTCAGGTTGGCAGGCGCACGTCGTAGCAGAGTAAACTTTCCCTTGAAGCATGAAGTCACAGAACAGTCTCTCACTGTGCAAACTTTGCTCAAGCTCCCTTGTGTGACAGGAAAAACTGAGTTAATGATTAAGAGTTCAGTTAACCTGGGTACTAGGTAACTAGATGGTTATTATGGCTGATAATTTAAATGGCTCTAAACTTCTCTGCTAAGTAGTCAATTGATAGATCCTTCTATCCAAAATGACTTAGAGTATACTTTGCTCAAGGTCACAAAGTTTCACTACCTTTTACTAGATATCATCACAAAAAAAAAAAAACACAATGCAGTGAGATCTTTTGAATTTTATCAAATGCCAAGTTTTAATACTTTTTTCTGGTCTAGATATTGCAATATAATATATAATAATCTTATAATTGGTCTTTTTGATTTTTTATTATTGCTTTATTTATATATTTATTATTTTAATACATTAATTGTATATTAATTTACAAGTTATAGTTATTTTGTTTCTAAATTAAATAAAATTCTATTCAATTATTGTTTAAGTAAATAACATGTTATGAATTTATTTACATATTTTGCAAATGTGCCCTGTATTGCTATATTGTTTAGCTAAATTTAATTTGATCAAAATAATAATAATTATTATTGTTATTTTATAAACTAATTGTTAATTAGGCTTATAATTATTTTTATTAAAAAAATGTGTTTGTTTATTTTAATAATAATAATTTATTTATCTATTTACTTAGATTTTTACAAATTCCCAGTGATACCACACTGTTTAGTCTAATTGAATTAAATCAAAATAATAATAGAATTAGTTGTTTATTATTAAATGTGTTGTAATATCATAACATTTTATTATTGTCCTTTAAGTCAATTTGTCTCAGCTTTACTTTATTTACTTTTTTATTCGCTTAACTATTTTTATAAATGTTCCCAGTAATACTACAATGTTTAGCCAATTTAAATATGATCATTCGGTAAATGCAAAATATCAGCAAAATGCCTTCAGCCAGTAAATTGTCGTTAGGGCAACTAAAGATTTCTTGTTTAACAAATGATCAATTAGCAACACAACAAATATTGATTTGTCATCATTTCTGTCTTACACAGTTAATATGAGTTAAACTCTGAAGTATTCGCCTCTGAAGAAAACAATTTGGAAAGCCAAATATGGCATTGTTTATTCAGGCAACTCTTTTAGGATAATTGGGGCAACATTTGGGTGAAAATAGTTTGTCTAACGTGTTTTTATGTAGATTCATAGTCATTCAAATTTCTTGGTATCTGAAATTCCTGTATACAGAATGAACTGTTAGTTTTTTGAGCTGTAACCATTTTACAGTGCATTGATTCTTATATAGTGTTGTCACGGTACCAAAATTTCAGTATTCGGTACCAATACCAGTGAGAATCCAGAGTTCTCGGTACCAATTTCGGTACCAAAGCAAAACACAAAAAACATGCTCCTGTGATGGCAAAGTTGAATTTTCAGCAGCCAAGTCTTCAGTGTCACATGATCTTTAGAAATAAAAAACATCACAAAAAAAATCGTAATTATTCCAAAAATTATTTTGATCCGTAGTGTAAATGCATGTATGGAATATAAATTTAATTTCTTCAGATTTAATATAAATGCGCAAGTATGCAATAGAGTGCATCCCTCAGGTGTTCCTTAAAGTCAAAGTCAATGTTTTTTTCGCTCTATTGAGAAATCGATTGGTTTGTATAATTTTTTTCAAGACACTCCTACCATGAAGTTAATTTTAACTTAAGATCCACCAACAGGAAAACACATCAGAATGAAAGAGATCAGCAGCAATCGTCCACTCGCATAAAATATTGTGAATGATTTAATTAAGACAGGCTTCTTATATATTTACATATACATAAATGAATATTTTTCTAATATTTTAATATATATCGTTGTTATACTTGCAACAAATGACCGTAAGTCAGTGGTTTTATATTGTACCATTGGTTTTTATTTTAAATCCCTATGCAAAAATGAATGGGAATAGACCAGTCACTGTTGCACTGTTGGTTGATTAAACCTTAGGCTTTACAATTTAAAAAAAAGAACATTTTTAAAAACAAAAAAAAAATTCAATTTAAAAATTGTACCTATTTTATTCTATTAATATTGAATCTGATTCTTTAATGGAGTCTATAACCTGAAGCTTAACTGACACTTTATCAACCCCAGTGCAGCACAAGACTACCTAGATTCACTTGATTGTATTGCTTGGTAAGTGCCAAGTGAAGCGTTGGCGTGTTCTATACCTAAAGTTGTGCAGATTTACAGTGGTGGGGATGTCGTGTCATAACTTGCAAGCAAAGTCCCTTCAGGCATCTCACCATGTGCAAATGTGTGTGTTTTATGTATGTGCGCCCTTTGTTCAAACTGTCTGCTCAGATTTATGATTCATGGGCTGAAAATGAAAAGACAAACGCGGCGAGTGAATCAGTAATGAACTAGCTAACAATCACCTGACTCTGCACCGTCTACCCGGAGTGCTTTGATGTATGTCAACATTCGGTTGGTCTCAGACAGTGACCCCCTAAAAACATTCAAAGGGAGTTTAGTCTAAAGTTCTAAGGTTGTGATTAATTTATCACATTTTAGATTTGTTGGTTCATTGGTGGGACCTTTTGTACTCTTAAAGTAAAGTGAGCTGAAGTGTTTTGAATTTAAAGGAATAGAAAAGATGTCGAAATAGCTTGGTACCCTCAAAACAACAACAATAATAATATTACCAATTATTATCATTATTATTAAATTTGTGTTATTATTTGTTATTATTTGTGTTATATGATCATATAAATTAGGATTTATACATAATAATAAATTTGTGTTGACACAATCATAATAATTATTTTTCTTTTTATAAGTTGTAATAATAATAATAATAATAATTGTGTTGTCAATTATCACAATTATTACTAGTTATATTTTCAGATTTTTTTTTATTATATATATATATATTGTGTGTGTGTGTGTGTGTGTGTGTGTGTGTGTGTGTTAATTAATATAATATAACTGATAAAAATATAAAAATGAAATTATTTTTACTAAATGCTGTGTTCATGTGGTCATGCCATTCAGAGATATACAATATCAAACTTCTATACGGTTAAATAAGTGTCCTGCATCTGATTCTCAGGTGGGTACAGCCAGGTACATGGCTCCAGAAGTGCTGGAATCAAGGATCAACCTTGAGAACATCGAGTCATTCAAGCAAACCGATGTCTACTCCATGGCCCTGGTGCTGTGGGAGATCACGTCCAGGTGTAACGCCATCGGAGGTGAGTACAGAAACATCATTGAGATCTCACTTGGAAACAGCTTTTATTTTGGCATTTCCTAAACCAATATAGTTAGTAAACTTGAGACAATGCTATTCTATTTCCATTCTGCCTGTAATTGTCCCTCAAGGAGAACAGGGATGAAAACAGGCTTGCTTTTTGTCTGGTTCTGTTAGTGGTACTTTGTTTTTTTTGCTACCATCGTTGGGCTATTGTTTGAGTACACTGCATGGAAAGCCCACTGCGGCCCACAATGTGTTTTGACCGATTTGCAGCTTCCTGTTATTGGAGGAGCCGTTCTTCAACAAGAGCAGAGATGGTACGGCATACTCCTCACTCTATTTGGGGAATGTAAGGAATGTGTGAAATGTCAAGTGCTTCCTAAGAATTTTCCCTTCTTTGGTCAGGTGGGAAGACAGATGCTAGCATATTCTTGGCGCGCTTACATATAGGCGTAAAAAACTGTATTCATATAGCTCTCATGGAGCATTTATGCTCTCATATGTATGAAATACAACAACAGAAACTGTAATTAGTTATGGGGGTAAATATAAACATGGATGCACATGGAAATTGAGGAAGAGGGAGGGATTGTGTTGTTGTTTAGGGTTTTTCCTGCATTGAAAAATGATCAGTGGCTGCCAAGTGAAAATTCGGCCTGCTATATATTCATCTTGAGAAGTACTAAATGCTTTTGTACTTGCGCAGGATGAATGAAGCCGTCTGGATAGATAATATTTATTAGAATTTCTCCATTATTCTAATCCCATTCGAATAAATAAGACTTAATCATTATGAGCCATATATATAT